CAAGAAACAAAAAATCACGGCCTGTGACCTGTCCGTTACTTAGACCATAAATACCCCTGATTGAATCCTGGGGCTGAGGGCCTGGCACCAGCTGCCAGGGCGGGGGGAAGACCCGTGGCACCAGCTCCAGGCAGGGAGCCCTGGTGGGGCACTGCTGGGGGGGGGGAGCCCCGCGGAGGCAAAAGCAGCTCCAGTTGCCGCTGGGGGGGGGGGGAAGGGAGTCCCGGGGGTAGAATACCCAATTTGGGTTGGACGTATACCTGGAGTTTTCATCACATGACATAGTCTTTTTAATTAAAGATTCATCTTTAATTCCTGGAGACTCCAGGACAATCCTGGAGGGTTGGCAACCCTACCCAGGGGGCCAGCAGCTGCTCCGGCCCCTGCCATGGGGGGAGCCGTAGGAAGCTAATGGCTGCTCTGGCTGCCACCATGAGGGGGAGCCCCGAGGAGCCAGCGGCTGCTCTAGCCACCACCAGGGGGAGCCCCAGGGCCAGCTGCTGCTCCGGCCTCCCTGGGACCACTTCTCAGGTGGTCCTGGGGCAGCCACATTGGCCGCTACTCGGGTGGTCCCAAGAGCCAGCTGCCCGAAGCCACCAGAGCAGCAGCCAGTGCGGCTGGCTGTACGGCCGCCCGAGCGGCTGGCTGCAGAGCCGCTGCAGAAGTCACAGAGGTCACAGGAAATCACGGAATCTGTGACTTCCATGACCTCTGTGACAAATACGGAGCCCTAGTCATCACCCTAGCCTTCGCTGTTCTAAGTGCTCCAATTTCATGATCTGGGCATGTGGAGTTTTTGCATTCAGATATGCTAGCTCTGCTTCTAATGACACTTGAAGAGTTGGCTGCCACATGGAATCAAAGGGTCAAATCCTGCCAGGTAGTGAACACTGCCTCAGAGGTACTATACACCTCAGCATCTTGCAGGCTTAGGCCCTTAATGAAAAATGGGAAATTATTGCCTTCAGTGTGGTATTAGTCTGGAATGTGGAAAATGTGGAAGTTGTAAAAATATTTTATATTTACAGTGTATGACCATAAAGAAAGCCCAAAGCAGCACAACCGCTATTCAATGTAGGGTATGTTTGCACTTCAAGCTGGAGCAGTGGGACAGGCTAGGTTCTAGGGATATGTCTACCCGCACTAGCACTGATAGAGCTAGCACTCTAAAACTAGAGTATAGCCACTGCGTCACAAGCTGCGGAAGAGGCTAGCTGCCCCGAGTACGTGCTTGCGGTCTCACACGGGTACATATCTGGTAGGACTAGCCCCTCCTGCCACTTGTACCACCATGCCTACACAATATTTTTAGCATGCTATTTCCACCAAAGCTAGTAATTTTCCTCCAGATGGGAATCACACCCCCAGCTCAAAGTGAGGACATACCATTGGACTCTGCAAGCTGGTTTAGTAGACTCCTAAGGACCAGATTGGCTCCTGAGCCCCAAATGAACCTCAATCAATTTATAATTCCTCTGCTAGGGATGGATCCAAAACAGGCTTGGCAGGGGACAAGTTAAGGCTCTTGAGGGTTTGGGTGTGGTCCTAATGAGGCATTTAAAGTTCGGGAGTGGTGGGTTAAATCTTGGTGCTTAGGCAGGTCTTATCAAACATCCTGTTGTTCGTAAGGAATGGGCGATGACACTCCTAACGGACATTGGGGAATCTCCTCCCAGCATACATTTTCAGGAAGTGGGGGACAGGGGTCAGAAGTCCTTTAATCTCCCATCCAAGACCCCTGCTCTCTACATCCCTCCTTCCCAGCTCCATTTCACCCTCATTGAAACACAGGTCCATCTTGAGTGGAGTATGGTGCACATTTACCAGCGTAAAACAAATTATACAGCTATATAGGGCAGGAAGCGAAGAAAAAAAACATGTGCAGGTGGGTCAACTGAAGAAACAACTATGTCACCTATTTTAAATACATATAGGACATCCCATGATAATGTTTCTATACAACTCTAAATCCTTTTGTTTTGGTTTACTTCTGTTGTCTCATTCCAAGAGCAGAGTAATAAATGGGTTTGTAAAGGGTATTTCCAGGAGCATGATGAGTCAAGTTTGTTGCCCTCCCTGGCCAGATAAGCTTGCCGAGTGTGGTCCATGCAACAACTCTGAAATGTTCACAGTCTTAAAGCCCAATAAACTAGCTGTTGAGGCTCTTACATCCCAAACAGGAGCTGCAGACTCATTAGCATAAACTGTATAGATACGTAAGGTATTTATCAAATAAAAAGAGAAAAGCTGAATATGCCAGTGGTCTGATTTTTCCAGTATGGCAGTGGGATTAGTGTTATCACAGTGTGAACTACTATATAAACCCACCATGGGAATACTTTAAAAATAAAATTGGATTTATTCCAAAGTCCTATTATAAGGAATACACCTACTTATTGATTTTTACTTTCTTCTTCTTGATTCATCCACCACGAGATGCATCAAAGCACTGTATTCAGTCTGGCAGATAATTCAACATTAGTTCTTTTCCCAGACACAAAAAAGGAACCTGTCCAATTTGCATACGTGTGTTTTATTTACACATGTTTTACTGGGAACAAAATCACTTTATGTTCTAAAGAAATTGGTCCAGTTTCAGCAATCATATTGTATTCCCAGATGGGAGAATACAGGGCAGAGTGAAAGCAATCTCTTCAACAATCCAGCTGTGGGAGCGTGAGAGAGAGCTCACAAAGGAGTCTCATGTTCCATGCGAAAGTTCTGAAAAAACATGAATTTGGCTATATTTGCTTAAAGAGTCTTGGTACTCCAGGAGCAGGGCTATTTCCTGTCAGGAATGGGGTACTCTGATCCTTAAGCAGAGTCATATGAAGGCCTTGCTCCGCATCTGCTCAGAGTAGTCTTCTCTTGAAGTGGGACTGCCACCGGTCTCTTATTTTTGTAAGCAACACAATTTACTTGCTGGTTTTCACTGAGCTGAGTTTTAGAATTCACATCCAAACCTTCTTAGGGGTCATACTTCTGAAACTCCAAAACTGGAGGTACCTGTATGTGTGGTGATAAACAACAAGCTCTTTGACAGTTGTTTTGATGTTTGTGTTCTCATGATTATGCATTCCCATATCCTAATGGAAAAAGTCAAATCAGATTTGACTTTCAGTGGGCTGGTTCTCTAGTGTCTTCCAAAGCTGCAACTGGAGGCTTAGAGTCACATTCCCTAGAAATCAAAACACAAACATGAACTTTACACAGCATATTTCATTATTTATATCTACCTAGTGATCTTACAATAACGCAGTTCTGTACATAATGTAGTGGGACTGGGGGGTGGGTCAGAGAAGATTGTATTTCCTTGCTTCTGTATTTCTATTCTTCCACCATCACCGTCAGATTCCCAGGTCAGGTTTAGACAGTGTGAAGATGTCTTTTCCTATTTCAGCTATGTAACAATATCAGTGGATTCCTATCCAATACTACATAGCAAAGGACTGTACTCAGAGAGAGAAAAAGCAAAAAAGCTTGATTGATACTGTGTTAGCCTTGATTCTGAGCTTACACCAGTTTTACCCTGGTGTAGCTTCATTGACCTCAGTGGAGTTATATATTTAGGCCTGATCCTGCACTACTTAACTTCAAGCACATGAGCCATCCAAGTGAAGACAATGGAACTACTTATGGCCTAAGTCTTTGCAGAATTGCAGTCTTATGGAGTAGTGACATCAGTGCAGTTACTCATGATTTAAATTGGCATGAGTATAGAATTATATGGGCCAGATTCTCTAGACCACTAAGTTCATTTTGTGCTGCCAGCTGCCACCACCCACTGGGGTAAATGGAGTATGTCAGAGGCAGGCTAGAGACAGAAAGGAGTGTGCTGAAGCCGAGCTCCTTTGCACTTGATGCCCTACAGACTTTATAACAGTGGTGGAAGACAGAGTCAGCACCCTACTGCTCTAAGTTCTGCTGGGTCCGTGCAGATGGGGATCAGGGAGCTGCCTGTGGTACTCTGAAGCCACCATTGCCAACTCTATCTGAGTACATTAATGGAGAACCGGGCCCTACATCTCTAACAACAATAAGGAACAGTGGCTGCCAGGTAGACATGCCCAATACTATATTTAGGTTCAGTGACTTATCACCATTTTAGCTTAACAATAGTCCAGGAGCTGACTATCCTCAAATATTGCACCTTTCTGAACAAGCAGGAGAATCTCTGAACTAAGGGGAAATTCACTTGTAAGAAAGGGTGGTGCTGTTGATGCTATTAATCTGCCCGGGGAATATCACCACAGGAGGGCAGTTTTAAAGTACAGTCGGGGCTTTCTAGTAAACACACCTGTAGACACTTCCTGGAGGAGAGATGTTCTATGTCAGAGCATCTCCTGAGAATGCTGGTCACATACCTTCATCAGCCAGCATTACCCACTTTCAGGGCTGCATCAGCCACCTTTGGCCTCTTTCCCATCATATAACAGGAGTTGTGGATGTCTTACGTGTCTGTAACTCCCTCCTAGGTCTCCGTTCCACCAGTGGATGCCTAGCCAGCCTCCATCAGCGGAAATTGGAGAGTGACTCAAGCCCCAGATGTGAAAGGAATTTACAGCATTTTGCTAATTTTTTTTAAATTAGCCCAATAAAACATTGAAACTAAGGCACAGCATATTATATTGAAAAAAACACAACTAGCCAGCAAGAGATATGAAATATGCCCAATAGTTTGTAGAATAAAGAGCTGTGTGTCTTTTTCTCACCCACCAGCCATCATGTTACCCCTAAACCACACAGAAATAAAATGTCACCAAAAGCACAGTATTTGGGTCCTGTTTCCAGCAAGCTATTCAGAAAAGCACTTAAGCATATTCTTAACTTGAAGCATACACTTATGTGGTTTCTTGAATTGGGACCTTGGTGAAGTTGATTATACAGCTGAATGCTGACTAAATATAAATTAATTTAATTGCTACACAAAGTGCTTTATGTTGATTCCAAAACCTGAAATGTAACTTTGCTCTTTTCTTTTCTTTTTTTTTGCTTTGCAGCTTCCTCTACCAAGACAACATATGTCAGCTACAGCAATCATGCAAACTGAGCAGGGAAATGAAACACACCTGAAGTATGTGAAAATTAAAAAAAACAAACAATGAATTTACTACCACCAAAACCTCGGTCTTGGAAAGAGCTGTAGACTACAATCAACTCAACAGTCAGTCTCTTAATGGACAAAGATTAACAACGAGCCAAAAGCAGGAGGGGTGGGGAAGGGAAAAGCTCAGTTTTATACAAGTCAGACCGAATGTCAAACTTCTAAACTGTTTACTCACAAAAGGAAGTAAATCACAAAAGGAAAACAAATGTTAGCTTGTGAAAAAAAAATGCTGTTGAAATAAACCATGTCTGATGTTATACTTGTAAGTACTTTTTTGTGATTGTGAGAATTTCCATTCCTGTCCCACATTGTTCAACTTGTATAAGAAGATGAATTTGTTTCTTGTGATGACTGACTGAATTGAAGCCCTGGGTTGTGCTAAAATAAATGCAATGATTGACGCATGCAAATTTTTATACAAAATAATTTATTTCTAATAATAAAGGAATGTTTTGCAAATGTTCAGACTTGTTTCGTTGAAGTTTTAAGGAAGAAAAAACAAATAATATTTTAAGTCCTGACGATATTGTCTATTGTTTGTTTAGAATGTGCAGTAAAGGGGGGGAGGGATATAATTAAAACAATAATAATGGTGTCAGAGGAATGCAGTGTAAAGTATAAGCATGTTGATGGAGGTGTCTGTATGTGCGTGCGTGTGTGTGTGCGCTCTCCGAGGTGGGTGAATTTATTTGTTTTTAAAATTGTGACTATTTTAAAATTGCTGGTGGGAATTTTTCCCAAAGTAAATACATTTTATAAGATTTTGTGAAATGAAGGATTCCTGATGTTGTGCTCACCATTTATGATTCAGCAACTGTTTTTTTTTCTTTTGAAAAAATTATCAGACAATTATAACAAAGATGGTAAAACTAAAAACTCAGATTTTTATAGTAATCAGAACCAACAAACTGAAATAAAAGGTTAATCTTATTATCCTGTACTATGCTATTATGTTGCTGATATTCCCCCATCAGCTATGATGGTTTGCCATTGCTGGCAATCACATCTTATTGATGGATGCCTTAGAAATAACGTAGAAAGGAATCAGGGGAATATTTGGAAAACAGTAAAGTGGATATATGAACTAACTTATCAAACCTTTCAAAATCAAAGGAAATGGCTATTCAAGTACAATTCTGTTGTCTTCTAATTTTCAGAATTAAATTATTCAGTAGTTAATGGTGCCATGCCATTAGAAATGGTTGTACCAAAGACAGAGAAAACACAAGAGAGATTGGAACCAGTGTAGAGATCTATCATGTTAATAAGCCACTCTAGACAAGTTAAAAGCAGACTGCTAGAGGCTTTCAGCTCTGTCACCAATGTCTATGATGTGCTTTGAGACTTTTTCTACTCTATACAATATCTACCATTCGTCAAGTCAATGGGTCTTCGCAATCAGTTTGTTATTAAATGTTCTTTCTGCTGATTTAGCCTGGATGGCTCATTGTTCTTCTTTCCGATAGGCGCTATCTCTTTGTAACATATCTTCACCAAGGAGGCTGCAGTGGACCCTGGATTACATTATTGAATAAGGGAAGGTTAATTTATTTGAAACTGAATCTCTTACATGTTACAGTGCCATACTTTAGTCTCCTGTGCAGCCAGCAAACTGCTTTCAGTCAACTATCCCCTCAGTAAAAAGAAGAACAGGAGTACTTGTGGCACCTTAGAGACTAACAAATTTATTAGAGCATAAGCTTTCGTGGACTACAGCCCACTTCTTCGGATGCATATAGAGTGGAACATATATTGAGGAGATATATATACACACATACAGAGAGCATAAACAGG